GTACTACACACGCTCACAATACCAACCTACTACGAATGAAAGCGACGTTGCCTCATGGCAACACTGGAATTTCTTTAAATTTTGTGCTGACACTGACAGACACATATTTTCGTTAGCGAAAGCGTCAAGTCCAGTCATAACCACACGGGTGTCATGTAAAAAACCTATAAAACGTCAAAAAAAAACCTGTAAGATGTCAACTTGCAGACTAGGCAGTTTTTAGGGAGCAAACAGTCATTCCACGTTTGCTCACTAGGATCGTTGTGATCGCCCATCTATGGAGGAATCACTCAACTAAACAGCGCATTATTGGTTGCATAGTTTTGTGAGGCTGAGTGATCCGGGTCTGTAGTTTTTATCTCTGAGAAGAAAGTTGGTTGAATAGCAAGATCGCATCTAGATGATTATGTGTATTGGTCTGAATGTGTATGAAATCAGTGATATTTGCTGTGTGAGAAAATCATTACTGATTATGCCGAGTATGACGGGTTATTTATATGTTGTGCTTTCTGAAGAGAGGTTATGTTCAAAGTTATAAATCACGAAAAACTGAAGAAAATTACGGGAAATCATCGCCGCGCCCGCGTTGTGTGTAATTACTGTTAGCGTGTATATGGCTTGTAATTCGACAGTGTACAGCGAATATCATTATTTCTTATCTCTCTCATCTTTTCTAGAATGAATACGAAAAAATGGATGCGCAACTAATTTCTAGCTTTGAATCTCAATTAAGTGTATTTGAGACAAGAACCCAATGTAATTATCATCAACACATACAACTTACATCTTAGACCTCCAGTAGTGCCATCTCAGAAGCAGATTTTACATCACATCAGAGCCAAAGATTGATACAAAGACTCACGACGTTTAGGCAACACGTACAACTAAGTGCTCAGTTAACGTAGGGCTTGGAGGGGAGCATGTGATTGTTTAGCGATTTTTTTTTTGTGAAACAGATTCTTCTATTGTGTTCTAGTGAGTGACATCAATTTCGAGCAACGGTGTATTACTTTAGACTTGGGAGCAGTGCAACGGAAACTATTGCTAAACTTTAATAGATATACGGAGATAGTGCTTTGTCAAGACCCCAGTTTTTGGTGGTTTAAGGCATTTTCAGAAGACAGACAGTCGATTGCAGATGAACCACGGAGTGGAAGTCCTTGATCCTCAAGAACCTATTCAAATATCGGGGGGATCCACGATCATGTACGTTCAAATCGTCGGTTGACAGAATGATCGGGCTAAGAGTTAAATTGGACTAACACCACCGTTTATCAGATCAAGAGCAACATCACGATAATGCTCTTTGTCGGTAAACAAGTTTCTGGTCAGTAAAAGCATTACTGCGGCTCTTCGGCCACCTTATTCGCCCGACATGCATCCGTGTGACTTTTTTCTTCCCGAAGTTAAAAAGTCACCTCAAGACTCATTTAAGGACAGTCGGAAACATTCAAACGGCTGTAACCGACCAGCTGGAGGCTATTCTGGTATCGGAGTTCCAGCAATGATATGATGAGTGGAAGAAACGCCTCCAGCGCTGTGTGGCTTCAGAAAAAATAAAAAAATGGCATTCACCACTTAATTTACAGACCACTCGTGTATCGTGTAAGTATTTGAAGGTAACAAAATCGTAGACATGTTTAGAATATTTTCAGAAAAAAATTGATTTGTAGATTTTCGGTTAAAAAACTGGTACTTTTCTCAAAAAATCAAGCCGAATACACAAGAACGTAAGACACAAAATTGTATTTGAGAATTTCATTCTAGTTCATAAATGAGGATATAAAGTCAATGAAAAGCCGTAGGCGCAGAAAACTCCAAATCCTTGAATAAAGTATCCAAATTCCAAGTTCCTTTCACAGAGATTCAAAGATCATATCTAATATACTAAGTGACATATAAATCCGAACACCCAGTTTAAATGGTTTTATTTTAATAAAATTTTGTATAAGTACTTAATGAAGCATAATAAGTAAATGATAAAAATTTCAAAATGATTGCACTGCTTTAAAGCCCTTTGACCTTTAATAATGTGTGGATGCACCCTGATGTGCTACGCATTCTCCAACGCGCCTAGGCATGATTCTGATCAGGTGGTCAATGTCCTCCTGTGGTATCTCATTCCAGACAACCACCAACTCCTCTCGAAGTGCTTCTAGAGTCTGAGGAGGACTTTGCAAATTGAGCAATCTCCTACCCATCATATCCCATACGTGCTCAATTGGGGATAAGTCGGGAGATCTTGGTGGCCATGGTAACAATGTGACATCATTATGTTGAAATAAGTCTATTGTGACTCTTGCAACATGTGGTCGGGCATTATCTTGTTGGAAAGTTGGATCTGCCAGGGTGTCAAGATAGGGTAAAAGATGGGGTTCTAGAACTTCGTGGATATAACGCTGCGCGTTCATGTTATCTCTGATGAAGATTAAAGGTGACCTGGAACCATAAGCTATAGCACCCCAAACCATAACTCCAACAATGTGATGAACATGTCTTTCAACAAAAAACTGTGGATTCCTCCTTTCACCACGTCGCCTTCTAACCCTGGCACGACCATCGTGCATGCCTAAACAAAATCGAGACTCGTCACTAAAGACAATACTGTTCCATTCCTGATCCCAGAGTGACCGTTGTCTGCACCACTCAAGGCGATTACGTCGGTGTTCTCGAGTTAAAGGGAGGACCCAGTGTGGCCGGTATGAAAACAAGCCAAAACTTCTCATTCGTCGGTAAACACTTCGCATGCCAATAGGTCTTCCATGTTCTGCAAACCATTCATTTACAATGGACCTTGTTAGGGGAGAAACGGTCCCTTAAGGCCAATAATCTTAGGCGGCGATCTTCAAGCCATGCCTGATAACACCTAACCACAATGCCTACACTTCTTTGCACTCTAACTGCAATTGCCCGAAAAGAAAGTCCAGCTTCCCGAAGTCCCACTATACGGCCCCTATCAAACTCACTAAGTTGATGAAATCGTACAGGTCTCCGTACTCTAGGCATCGTAACCGATCGTAAAGGATGTCAAGAACCAAAATCCGCCAACGTTGATTCTTTACTGCGGCTGAAATATTCATTTTTAGGGCGTTAGTGAATTAAAAAAAAGCAGTATAAAAACCGGAATGTCCAACTGATAAGGCTGAAAATTTTTTCACTTGTTACTTACAGTAAGATAAATACATTCACCAACTTTTATTAAAATAAAACCATTTAAACTGGGTGTTCGGATTTATATGTCACTTAGTATATTTTCTCTAAGAATGATCATGTAGACTAGTGAAGCTCCGTTAAAATCGGCCTGTGATATTTCCAATTTCTGATGGTCATATGATGTCTACCATAAAGTCAAGTCTATTCAAATATCACCTTTCAAAGCTATGCCGAAACATTTGTCTATATCTCGAAAGAGGGGGTAATACCTGCGCACTCACTGAAAAAAAGCTCAGTGTGGCAACGCTGCCCGGCTTTCGCCTGTTGAATGTGGCGGATGTTTGGGCAGCGCAGGCAAACTGGTTTTTGTTGTTCCAGTCAGTGGCGGACGTGTCGGACTAGAAGGACCAAAACACAGATTTGGGTCACGGGCCGTTGACCAAATTCTGATAGCGGTCACCTGCCGACATTGCGAGCGGGCATCGGAACATGATTCTATCTATAGATGATGTCCAGTAAAGCTTAAAAGCATTCTTTATGGAGAAATATAAGCGACAAAAAAATATTGAAGAGATGTTATCTTAGAGTTTTTATTTTATCTAACAACGATTTTAATCAATAAGCAGGCGGTACTAGTTTGTGTTATTCGAAACGGGACTGTTATCGATCCCTTCAGCGACAATGTATTTATGCTTATTGGTCAAGAGTTGATTACATTTGGTGTTTTGTTTATTTTCAATTGAACAGCAGGTAAAATAGGTGTCGTGGGATCTTTTCGCGACGTCGACCTAGTACGCACTCGGCGTCGAGCGGCAAGGTGGTACGCATGATTGGACGCGTTGAAGCTTCGTAATTAATCAATGTCCTGAAAATTTTATTCATTCACGCATTTTAACGGCTTAAAACACAATGATTTTAATCTGTGCTGTGCAACGAATGTTAATGATGCTGCAAACACACTCATTGAATGCATAAAATATTTAATTGAATGTAGTACAAACAGAGTTAAAATTAAACATTTTCACAGAAGCAGGAATCCCTGGATAACCAAAGGTTTGATAAAGTCTGCCAACAACAAAGAGGAACTATACAAAATAATGAAAGCATCGCCATGTGCAGATACCTCCCATAAATATAAAGAATATAAAAATATTTGTATCAATCTAGTTAGAGAAGCAAAACGCCAATTCTATCTAAAAAAATTACAAGATGCCAAATCTGATCCAAGGAAACTGTGGTCAGTTGTCGATCACTTAACTAACAAATGCGTTCAAGAAAAGCCAAATATTGATGAAATTAAGAATCGTGATGGAACAATATTAACAGATAAACGATAAATATCCGATGCATTCTTAATTTTTTTCACTAATGTTGGAGAAAATTTAGCATCCAGTATTAAAAAAAATGGTATCGAACGAAAAGTTCAAAAAACCCAACTTCCCAATTCATTCTTTTTAGAAAGCCTTAGTTCGATTGAAGTACAAGAAGCTGTCCTATCACTTAAAACCAAAAAAAGTCCTGGTGTAGATGGTATCAAAGCTGACCATTTAAAAATAATAGCCTACGACTTAGCCGAACCACTTTCTTACGTCATTAATTGGTGTTTCCAATCTGGAATTTGTCCTGATGCATTTAAAACAACTGTTATTACTCCTGTTTATAAAAGCGGTGACAGAATGGAAACATCAAATTATACACCCATATCAGTACTATCGAATATAGCCAAAATTTTCGAAAAATTACTACAAGAAAGGATATTACAATTTTTGGACAAAAACAAAATTATATGTTCTGACCAATATGGATTTGGAAACGGAAAATCTACTACAGATGCAATTTTGGCTGCAATGGATGAAATTAACTCTAATGTCAACAAAAAGATACCTACTATTGGTATCTTTGTTGATCTAAAAAATGCCTTTGATACGGTTAACCATGTCGAGCTTCTGAAAGTTATGGAAAGATTGGGATTTAGGGGAGCGTTACAAATCCTTTTAAAAAATTACCTTTCAAGTCGGGCACAGACTGTCAAAATCACTAACACTTACAGTAAAAAAATGTAGGTACATCAAGTGTGGTGTGCCTCAAGGAACAGTACTAGGCCCACTATTATTTAGTCTCTACTTAAATGACTTAACAGTTCTGGAAAGATTATATGTTTTGCAGATGACACCCTCGTATTATATAAAGCTGATGACTGGAGCACACTGAAGCAAATAGCTGAAAAGGATTTTATAAGGATCATTGACTGGTTTGATACTAAAATTTTAACAGTTAACTTCAAAAAAACAAAATTTATTGCATTTACATCCTATTCAAAATTTTTACCTACCTTCGAACAAATTTCCGTTAATTATCATGGCCAAAAGACCAAAATCGATAGAGTTAACACTTTGAAATATCTTGGAATATTTATAGACTCACATCTAAGGTGGGATAACCATACTAAATATGTTATCAAAAAAATTAGAAATGTTGCCTATAAACTCAAAATGCTTGCTAACATTCTTACAGAAAGTTATCTGCGAATCATATACCATGCCTTAGTTGAAACCCATATAATATACGGATGCCGCCTGCAAGAAATATATTTCTGACCTGAATATAGCACAAAAAACTGTTTTGAAACCCATTTTCCATAACCCAAGATTATATCCAACGAACAACTTTTATCAAGAAACAGGGATACTGAACGACATTGATTTGGAGGTTGCTAAGCAAGAATTTTAAGGGAAACTTAAAAGAAGTGACGACGAGATTTTGCAGATCGAACAAGTAATCAAATCACAGGACTCTACTTTGTGGCGCCTTCATCGGAGGATAAGGTTGACTGCGTCCCGATTTGGTGAAGTTTGTAGAAGAAGGCAGACAACAAGCTGTAAAGTTCTAGTAAACTCCATCATATACCCAACAGAGTTTTCCAGTAAGGCAATAAAAAAGGCAATACAAAAATCATTGGACACGGCAGTTCAATCTTGTGGTTTGTTTATTGATCGCACAAATCCATTTCTGTCAGCATCGCCTCCATCTACCTATTACGGTAGACAAGAAATGTACTTAATCCAGGGATAAGCCTACCTGTTTATTGCGTTGCCAAAACTACCTAACTGTTTCCTCTTATTTTGACGGCATAACATATTTTTATGACCCTCGTTGAATTGTTACCATGTACCACATGACCCTTGTAAACATAATTGTGTTTATTGATACGAATAAACGAATTTGAATTTGAGTTCTTGAATTTATTTTCTAAAGATATCAAATTATTTGAATACATTTTTTCTTAATCGGAACGCACCGTCGCGTCTCTTGGGCTGGCAAGACGAAACAGTAGACGAATTTCGCCCAAAAACCGATTTGCACTCCACAGCTTACGTTTAATTTTTTATTATTTCCGAATGAAACTCTTGCAGCGTGCTAAAAACAAAGTCCACAGGGTGCTAATGATCCACTTTTTCGATTTTATCCACTAGGATCTTTTTAAAATATCAAGAAGTTGAGCACAAATAGAAAGCATTTCAACCCACCATAATTCTTGCACAAAGAAAAAATTTGGTAAAACGCTCTGATAGCACCTTAGGCAATTATGTCCTGTTTATATGCAGAAAAACATCACAAACTTCAGAATACGAATTGAAGGTAAGGGCAAAACATTTCACGGGTCATGAAATTCAAATGAAAATGCAGGGATAAAATCTACCAAATTATCGTTCTCAAAAACATATTCCCTTGACATATCGATAATTTTAAAGTTCCACGCTAAATTCCCCTATACTTGACTGGAGTGATATCCGAATTCATTCTTCCCTACTCTCAGCAGTTGCAGATAGATCTGTTGGCTCTTGGTGACAAACCTATAGAGCAGGTACCGATTTTTTCAAATCGTGAGCACATTATTCGTCGGATTTTCGTTACTTAAATTTCCTGTAATTACTGGGACCAGAAGCTTCTTAAGAATAGAATGTGTTTCACTGAAATCAAGGATCCAACATTTAGAATCACCTTCCTCCAACCCCCACTTTTTAAGCGTTCGCGGAAGAATCTCCTTAGACTGATGCTTCAAACGCGCTACGTCATTACTCGATCTGTCATCTGTCAAAAGTTACAGTGTTGCCACATCTTTTAGTCGAATATGGCCAACCCTATATATAGAAGGTAGGAGCTATACATTGTTGCAGGTTCTTCATTAAATGATTTTTGCCTTTTTCATGTATACTGTTCAACTCTCCTTATGTCTTATTTGTTATAGATTTCTACTACTACCGGCTCCTTGTGATACATAAAAAGAATAATAGTTTTTAGGTAGGTCAGTCGCTAATTTAGTTAAATCAATAAATCCCAGTGCCCTATTTCAAAATGTTTGTAGTGGTGTGTTTTTATAATCAGTAAGTTTAGTTTTGGTCTAGTTGGATATGACGGTTACGCACAGGTTGTCCTTTAATGGTTATATACTTCCACTGCTAAACCAATTCTCTGGGTAAAACCTACATATATGAAATTTACACCTAAATTAGAATAAAGAAAATAATTTTATTGTGTTACGTCAACGTTTTTACAGAAGTTTTTACCCGCAGCCACCTTTCTGGGTATCTTCATTTGTTTGTCATCTACAAAAGTTTATGTGTAATGGATCTGTATTTTGGAGACAAATAAATATTACTATTATATTACTATTATTCAGGGTCGGAAAAAGGGCCACTACTACTAAACAGAGTCAACCTACTTGACATCACTTTGCGTTAAAAATATGTCTTAAAATAGCTTCTGACTCATATATCTCACTCAGGAAATAATACCGTACCGTGAATTATGCAACATTTAATAATCGATTGTTCTTACATTTGGAATGCTATTTTGTTTTCTGGTACAAGTTTTATTTATCGAAGCAAATATACGTATGTTGAATATACAACGTTCATACGTGAGAAGCGTCGATCCATAGAGTGCTCGTTTTCCTCCAGATGATGCTAAATCTCGTAATTTGCTCGTTTCTTACTGTAGGAGCAGGCTAGCCTCATGCCTGCAATGGCGGCTAGAAACTAGAACAAAAAAAAATTGTGCATAAGTATCTATGAGAAACAAAAGGAGCGGGCAAAGACAGATATGTGTGCCTAAATTCACTATGTAAGTTGTATTTGAAAGGACGATACTCACAAATCACTTGCAAAATCCGCTTCAAGTGAAAATACGCATTGATTTGATTTTCATTTCACGCGAAAAATTTCGAAAACGGGAGCATTATGTACAGAGTCAACCTACTTGACGCCACTTTTTAAAATGCTTTCGTTTTCAAGCTAATATATGTGAAATTCTATTAAATGTATATTTATCTACAATCAGTACTACCCTTACCTCAAAGCTGCCCAAGAAACCCGAAATGTAGGCTATCGCCTTGTTATGGTACATTATGAAGTTTGTAAATTTCGGGGCGCATCCAGCTGTGTAAAGATATATTGAGTTGATGGTGCAGGAAACATCAGAAACACTACAGCATGAAGTTGGCAGTTTGAAGTTTTTCCAATCTGCTGGGGAGTTCAACCCACAGCAACCAACCTAAAAAAAAAATCGATTTCAATATTTTACCTAACATTAACTACGAGCCCCTTCCCACTTCAGTTGGCCCAACTATTGAAATCTTAGTTTTTTCTTATCAAACAGAAATAATAAAAAGGTAGCAGGGTGTTATAGGTTTAAAATATTAACAATGAATATTTTGATAATATATAGTAGAAAACACCAACTTTATCACTCCCTAATCAAATTTGCAGCATAAAAATAACACATGTTGCAATTACAGCATATTAACCTATTTTCATTTCAATGCAAAATAAGTGTATAACGCATAGGTGGCTGTGAAAAATAAAAGCCATGCCAATTGTTTTTATTAATCACAGCTGTCAGAATACGTTTAAAATAGTTTTGAGTAGTAAAAATTCGGTTACTGATAATTAAATTTTTTTATTCTGGGAAATCAAACTCAGAAATTACAACTTTGTTAGACTTATCGCGGTACAGGGTGAGAAATATTGTTAGAAGACATAACGTAACTGGTTCAGTTAATGTTAAGCCACGATATGTGAAAAAAAGTAATATCACAAATGCCGACCGAAGAGCATTGAGAAGAATAATCGTGAAAACAGGCGGGCCAATTATTTACAATTAAGTGCTCTGTGAAGTGACGCTGTTGGAAGGAGAATTTCAAGGTCCGCAACTCATAGAGAGGCCCACAAACTGGGATTTAGCACTTGCAAGGTAAGTTTTCTTATAAAAAAAAGTGAAGTAAAAACCCTAAAGTTGCACAACTTGTTTATAGGCCAAAGAAAAGCCACTTAACTCCACTGCAAAAGAAAAATCGGCTTAGATGATAGACAATGGTGTGCAATACAATGGAGTGATGAGGCCCGATTCGAAGTCCTTGAAGATCCCAAATACCTCAATTCAAAGAATGTTACATAAAGAATTAGTGTATCAAAAGCGGGTCATATTGCACCAATTCCTCTTAATGGGCAAAGAACTGTTACTGCGGATTGGTATACCATCATTTGTTTGCCAAAAGTCATCACCGAGCTTCGAAAAATCAACCCCGAAGGAAGAATCATCCTCCACCAAGACAATGCAAGCTCGCACACAGCCCAAAAAACAAGGCAGTATTAACGGAAGAAAACGTGGAATTAATGGACCATCCTTCATATAGTCCCGACATAAGTCTTAGCGATTTCTTTACTTCCCCGAAAATTAAAAACAGACTGCGTGGTCAAAGGTTCCAGTCACCAGAAGAACCAGTTGACGCATTCAAAATGCCGTTTTGGATCTGCCAGCAAACGAGTGGAAGTGCTTCGAAAATTGGTTCCAGCGCATGCAGATGTGCATTAGTCTTCGTGGAGAATCCTTCGAAAAACAATAAAGTCATTTAAAACTACCTACCGTGTTGTTTTATTTCCATATGCTTAAAAGACATTCCTAGTATCCTTCTATTCCTCTCTGTTTATTCTACTGTTGTTTGTGAATACTTGGAAATTGTCCGTTCGTTTATATTTTAAATTTGATTTATTGTTTGACGTTTGACGTGTGTAAACATTTATATGTATAACGCGAGTAAAATACTACTACTACTAACAAAATATAAATTAAAAATGTCCAATTTTCACGAGTTTGACAAAGTACCATCAAACTCCAACTGTTGGTCTGTGAAAGTGGGGATAAATCAGAAAAATAACCACCTAAAAACAGAGCTTACCACATGCTGTACATCGTCAACAAAAGTCGGGTTCCTATAATACGATGCCCACCTGAAGCTATCCTTAAAATCTTGTGATATCGTATTGTCAATGGCACTGTAATCATCGATAACAAATAATATGAAGTTCGTCAACAGGAGCTGCAGCATGCCCAGTATTAATAGCACGATTGAATACTGAAAACAGGGAAACATTTATTTTAGCATATTTTCTACCACTGCGGAAAAGCATCTCCTGAAATCCACTTATTTCAAAGACCCTAAAAATGAATATAACAATCTTCTAAAGCTCTGTAACTCATGAAAATCCTTATTGCATTGCGTTGGATTACAAAACTGAACATATTTCCTAAACTGCCTTAGAATTTGGACCATAATACCACGTCAGAAAAATTGCTTTTCGTTTTTTTTTTTTAATTCTCTTCGGGATTCTTGTAAAACTAGGTACTTACCACGCTAATGCAGCAGGTAACTTCCTCAACAAAACCACAACAGCCCAGTGTGGTAATCGAGAAGAGTACTATGCCTACAAGTACTATGGATAGTGATGGTTCCACAATATAAGGGTAGCCCAATGTGATGTTTTTACTGGTCTTATATATGTAGAATAAGTAGTACATTCCATACGCTACCTGACCAATGCCAATTATCTGAAAAATACTCATTATTCTGTATAATGGAGCTTTTTATATTTTATTTTCTCCAGAAATATGTTCTCTTACTATGTCATACAAAACGGACAAGAAAATTATATAAATTAATAATTCTTGGATGGTGCACTTGGAAGAATCCACGACTTTGTAAATATTAAATTATGAATTTTATGAAAAGTTAAATTAAGTAAAATTACTTTTGAGTACCCTCTGAAATTATTACCTCGACACACACCCAAAATGAGTAAGGAATCTTGTGAAACAAGGCCCCAATGCTATTGGTTATACAGGGTGTTTCACAACTTATCCGATAAATTTTAACCACGTATGCAGTGTTACGAAATAAGTTGATTTCTCAAAAAAAAATAATAAAAGTCCTACAGAAATCGAGATAATAAAATAATACAGTTTAACAGTTCACTTACTTATTAAAACTGTTCAAAATTGTTTCCCTTTGACTGCAATGCAAGCTTGGACGCGTCTAATCCTATTTCCTGCTGTGCCTGAAGGCTCAAATTATCGGCAGCCGCTGTGATTCAGTGACGCAATTCTTCAATATTCTGAACTGTAGTACGGTATACCTCGTTTTTCAAGTGTTCCCATAAAAAGAAGTCGAGAGGATTTAGATCGGGAGACCGTGGAGGCCATGCAATTGGTCCACCCCTTCCGATCCAGCGTATCTGGTATACCTGATTAAGAAAATCACGAACTTCTAAACGAGAAGCCGCTCGCGAATTTTGCCCTGCTTCTCCGTACGCTAAAACACTGTCCACTAACTCCTCATTAGTGTACACATGTGCCATTTTTAATAATAAGTAACTAAAAACATAAACTCGCAAAATACTTTCTTATTTATCTTCACAAAAATCGAAAGTTCTTCATTCAGATCACCCACGATACAGATTTAACCGTATTTACACGTTTTTATCAGTATGAAAAAACCAAAAATTCCTGGTATTTTGTTTTCATCAGTTGTTGGATACAACATTTGCTACAATAAATTATTAATGCGTGTTCTAATATCACGACGATGAACGTAAAATACAGATATTTATTTTTCAATTTATTATTGAAACTCAGGTGTATAACTTAATTTCTGTAGGACCTTTGTTACATTTTTTTGAGAAATCAACTTGTTTCTTAACAGTGCATATGTTGGTAAAATTTTTGGATAAGTTGTGAAACACCCTGTATAGAAAAATAATGGAGAATTACTAAGATTCTACAGATTTCCCGAAAATAGATTAACACTAACAATTACAGCTCTCTCAATAATATTGCCCTTCCTTATGTGCGAACATTTTTTAACGTTAAAAAAATCATCAATTATTCAAAGTTGCTTTATCGTGATTGACCTCAAGACTTTCCAATTTATTTAAATCCTCTATCTAATTATGTAGCAATAATATTTTGGATTATTATAATATGGACATCCTCCAAAACAATCTGCGAATGTTGTGCATGCGTCATAGGTATCATGATTCTGTCGAAACGCACACAAATACATACAAATCACAAAGAATTTATATTTTGCTTAATACAAAGACGATACACGATAATCAATACGTAAATAAGTATATAAAGAAAGAGTACATTTATATATAGATTTATCTCTTATAAACTTTCCAGATTCTTACCATCAATAGAACCACGTAAAACAGGTTGCATTTTCTCTGGCATTTCTTGTCGCAGCACATTTTAATTATTTTTGGCGACAGTTTGTCCAAACGTGTTAAACGCGTGAAGATAGTCTGCCAAAAGGAAGTATTGGCGCCGGTTGTTTAGCATGCAGGAAACAGTGTGACGTATTCCGTGATTTGATAACATATAACCTACGATATGGTCCATTCCTGGTAAATAAAGCAAGATTAAAGACACCGCTTCTATACAAAATAATACGAAGGCATATTTTAACATACTGAGGTTCCTCATACAACTTTCAAAATACTTTTGTAAGAAATCTCAAGCTCCGAAACATTTTCCAATGCGTAGCTTTTGCGTTTACTTAATGACCAGTCACTGAGTAATACTGCATCAAGTTTAACAATACAGTGGACCCCCGATAATCCGGCGCCCCCTGTAATCCGACATGTCTTTGAATATGTATTACATACATACGTATTTGACAATCTTCGCTAATGTAGATGACGCAGGTTTGTACAGGTTACAACTTGTACGCGCCACCGCTATCGTGCTCGACGCGTAAGCATTGTTTTACTTGGTTTGAATTTGACTACTGGTGATAGCGGTACGGCCTAACGTGCGTTCATTGTTTACTATTTATTCATTGTGTATTAAGTATAGTACCTAGTAATGTCATCACAAACTCAGAAGCGAAAGCACAAAACATTGAATTAAAGAAAAATGTGATATTTTAGACCTTCTAAATCGCAATGAAACCTTCAGTAGTTTAACAAGTGAATACGATGTAGGCCGATATACAATTTATGACATTAAAAAAAACCACGAGAAGTTCGTGTCTACTACTGACTGCGGGCCAGGCAAGAGACAGACACTCAAGAAAGCTGAACATCCAGAAGTGGAAGAAACTTTGTACATGTGGTTTCTTCAGGAAAGAAATAGGCATGCACTTATTTCAGGACCCATGTTGGCCATGAAAGCTAAGTTTTTTTATAAGGAAATAACAAAAAAAGATGATTTTGTGGCCAGCAAAGGATGGCTAGAACGTTTGAAAAGTCGTCATGGCATACGTTTAATGACTATTACAGGAGATAAACTTTCTAATGATGCCACCTGCATAGAGCCCTTTAAATTAAGGCGTGTGATTTCTAACAAAACTTTCGTTTCTTGTAACGAAAAATCCGTACCTGGACGAAAAGTAAGTAAAGATCGTGTAACCATACTACCATGTGCTAATGCTGCGGGCCCACACGCGCTTCAGATGATGGTCATTGGGAACTCTAATAAACCACGGGCATTCAAAAACATTGATTTACCTGTACACTATTACGGACAAAAAATGCATGGATGACAAAATACCTTTTCAAAAAGTGGTTTGATGAATGCTTCATACCTGAAGTTAGAAAATGGTCAAAAGATCATAATTTTCCTCAAAAAGCGTTATTGCTGCTTGATAACGCTTCCGGTCATCCGTCTGAAGAAGAACTAACAACTGAAGATAAATGCATCACTGCGATGTTTCTTCCGCCAAATTGCACTGCACTGATTCAACCAATGGACCAGAATATCATCCAGTTTGTCAAGCAAGACTATAAGAAACACCTACTTCTGAGAGCCGTATCAAAAGACCAACCAATAGAAAAAACTTTAAAAGAATTTAATATGAAAGACTTGGTTTTTGCTCTTTGTCATGTCTCTAACGAAACTCTACATAGAGACCTCGATGTCCCTTACCTAAAGGACTACATTAAGCAACAGGCGCAGCGGCGCTATAGCCTAGCGGAATCGCACAGCAACCCTCTGTTGCGTGAGTCAGTGGACTACACAGTCGAGCAAGTTCGCAAGCACAAAAGGCCGCGGCTCGCACTGTAATCAAAATTAACTCGTGAACTTAGAACAACCAAAATTGGAGCATTTTTACACAATCTTTAGAAAAAGAAATCAAATATTTTTAGACCATATCAAAATCTGTGAAGCGATTTTAACAATGCCTAAACGCTGCCTATCCTAAAAGATTCTCTTCTTCCCCTTTGCTCTCGTTCTTCCTTCTCTCCTTTCCTTCTCCTTTTTTCCTTAAAATTGTCTGGTTTCTGGGTTACCAGACCTGACAGACTTACAAACTGACACTGTGACTCAAGAGCTAAGGTCCCACGGACCGCTCTGACAACCAACGATGACTTGACTGACTTGACTGCTCTTTGTCAGTCGTGGAATGCGTTACCGTCATCAACTATTAAATCGTCTTGGAAAAAGTTATGGTCAGATATAGTCACCACTCCTAGCAACGTTCCACAAATCAGTGTTACTTCGGAAGTTATAGAACAAGTCGCTACTGAAACACAGATAAGTCTGGAAGATTTGAAAATCTGGTGCCGTGGAATGGATAAAGACGAAAATGTTTTTCATGAAATATCTGACGAAAAGATTATAAAAGTGGTTTGTATTTATACAACAAACAATCAAGAAAATAACGACGACGTGATTGCAACTGCTCTACAAGTCACAGCACAAGACGCAATTAACGCCTTTGAGCTAGGTTTACAATGGGCTGAAGAGAATGGTACATCCTACAACGAACTTTTACTTTCGAGAAGACTGAGGGACAAAGCTCTGATCTCGCGTTATAACAACCTTAAACAAACAAGAAATGATGAATATTTCCAAGCTTCATAATTTGATAAATTCATTAACGATTTTAATTAATAATTTTAGATTATTTTGGTACATATGTATGTGCATTTATGCTTAATTTTATAATAAAACGTTAGGTCTCTATTGTTATTTGATTTAATAAATTCGACATACATAAACTATGTATGATTTGTACTTCAAAGTACATACATATACATAATATATATAATCTTACCATTGCATATGTAATTTGTCGGATTACAAGGTACTCTTTTGTAAAAAATTCCAGACTATAGGGGGTCTTAGGCAGTGCTCTATAATCCGACAAATTCGATAGTCCGACACTGCCCTGCATGATGTTTGTCGGATTACCGAAGGCCCACTGTATATAAATATATATTCCACTCTATCTGGCTTCTATTCTATCAGCTATGAATAATACGACTTTCGGAAGCATTAAGTGGCAATTGGAAATCACATTCCGACGAAGGAAATCAGAATCGCAGTATTAAAACAAGATTATGAATTCTACGAAGGGACACCTACCTCAGAACTTGTCAATACTTGTTAAAAGAGCTTCAATTTTTAATGTTTACGTTACTTTTTAGGAAAGTGTGTTATTTGGATGACACCAAGCACTAGTCCTACTTTCTCGCTCACACGGTAGGAGTAACAAACACACTAACACACTATTTTGTCACAGTATTCGAAAAGTGATATATCATCTTTCATGTTTTGAAGAACACTGATGGATGAGTCATATATCTAAACGAGCGGACCAGGTTACCAAATGTTTAGCATCAGGTACCAAGGTTACATAATATGGTACCCGCACAAAAATTAGCACATTAATTTAAAATATGCTTATTATTATATACACACATTTTCAACGCAGTCGCACATAATAATTACGCGCATTGTCGATGTTAAAGCTTATTTGGATAGTGATTTGAACCACACGAAAAGGAGTGATCTTGGTTCAAGAACAACTATCTTCAGTTGAGGACCGTGACTTCGGTATGTTTCTAAGACATATATCTTTAAGGTCAATTTCGCAACTGTAAGAGAAACAACGAAATTACCTCATTTGAGGTATCTGTATCTGTATCTCGAATGAATATCATAATTTCACAGAAATTCATGCTCTTGAATCAATAGCACTCTTTTTTGTGTGTGCAACTTGCTCATTCCTACAAGCTGACTGAGTCGCAGTCGCGGTCGTGGTCGCGGTCATGATGATTGAAGCAGAGACCTTGGGGATCGAGTCCTTGAAGTTGTTATAGGAATTTCGATAATAGGATGCGTTAAAAAAACAATAGCGGCTTTAAAGGCTCTATATTTCAATAACAGTATTAAACTTTACAGTTCATAACATACGGGTCCAGTGTAGCAAAAGTTTACCGTTCGTTGAGTATATTTAAATATTTCTGCGTGCATCTTTGTTAGCCTTTAGTTGTATGTATAAGAGATAATCTTAGAGTGTGCTTAAGTACATAGATTCACATATCGTTTAGCGTGAGGCAGGTATTATATGACGTATAATAAGATATATTGTAAGCATTGGAAGAACTCAATATTGTTTAAAAGTTCATGAACAGGTAGGTATTTAGACCTCTTGTAGTAACAACAACGACAAAGTAGTAATAAAAATGATCATTGATGCTTTTGAGGATATGATTTAGTAAAAAGATATCAACTAGTGTTTACTGCGTGTTTCATCATTTTAATGATGTACTTTACCTTATTGTGCTAAAAAATAAATCGATGATTATGATGATGGCTATGTGAAGTGACTTTAATGTTTTGAAAAGAATACTTCATTTCCTTTTTCTAACTAAAACCTGCTTATTCCATTTGAGACAAGTGTTCTTCAAATGCAGAAAATGTAGTAAATAAAGATTTGAAATGGGATGTTATTGAGTATAATATAGAGCAAAATAGGCTATGATTATCGTATGGTATGCAGGTTTGGATATTTCTTTGTTAATGTATTTGCTGTTTGTTATGCTCTCTAAAGGATTGCTTAAGTTTAAATTCTGGACATAAACTTGGATATAAAAACGATACTGATGTATTCTACCTGAAAATAACGAAACTAATACTGCCAGCGTCCAAAAAATTATCCGTGATACAATGAGATACTGTATCGTCATCCATGAGAATTTGTCACAGCCATGTTTCTCCTCCTCGCACTAATTAGAAACCTACTTAGGAAATGTTAGTGTCTCGTAGATGGCGCTGTAGCCAAATATAAGCTACATGCTAATACAGTGAGATACAGCACAATCTATGAGACACCTTTTGAAGTAGGCTTCTATTTGGTGCGAAGAGAAAAAGCACAGCTGTGAAAAATTCGCATAGATGATGATCTCGCATATTTTTTAGACGCAGGAATATTGGCACCCTGTAAGGCTTTCACGCGCCATCTCACTAGCTTGTATTTGATGAGTATGCATAATCGGCGAGGGTGTGTTTACATCAACCGAAGTGGCGATATTATTGATTATAAAAAGCAGTTGGGCTAACACGTGTCTTATTTTTGCATTATCCTGATTAACTCTGAAAAATCGTCAACAGCTCCAAAATAGAGGAGAGTATCACATCTCGTCTTTCGTTACTCCTAATGCACAGTGGTAAACGATCCCTTACGCTCATCTTCCCTATATTAGTATATGACTAAAGTTTCTCAATTTGCGGTTGGTTCTCTTTGTCCTTCCATGACATTTCAAGCAGCAAATCCCTTTCTGCTTTATTTACTGTACAAACATCAAAATGCCCTTCAGTACCAATTTTTGCGCGTCTAGGGATCTGAACCTTGAACATTTACAAAGAATATTGAATATATACAGATGTTCTTATTAGCTATTTCACTGTTTTACCACCTGGAAACCCTTAGGTCTACAACTGAATCGAAAAGTCATGTCTACTGCCTTTTCCTAATATAGAAGTTTAATATAAATAATATATTTTCGAAAAATTTCAATACGAATAAGATTCAGTTAACTAAAAATAAATTATTGGGTAATAGATTATAGTTTGTTCTGTGTTGTCCTGAACTTCAAACCTATAAGAAACAACTCCCTCCTTTTAACCTAAATCTTAAAAAACAACTTCTCCAACAGCTTGTGCGTTTCAATCTTCGTACAAAAAAGTCTTTGGCCGATTATGTATAAATAATTTGGCGCATCGCCCTGACTACAAAAGTAGTCCAAGTAAAAATATTTCGCGTTTATTATTGTCGTCGTAGATCTTCGAATGGTGCTTCCAATTTAGATTGTAGATGCATCGCGGCGCTCCTCCGAGGCCCAATTATGCTCTATCCTCCCCTATCGATCCATCCTCTGCTGCTGCGACCTACTTATCTCCAGTGGGATCTGTATTTTCTCCATATACAGCATGATAGGCAGATTCCGAGAAGCGCTGCCAATATCTGCGAATATAAAAAAAAACTGTTAATTCAGACGGAAAAGGCCTCAGGCGCTGGCAACTTAGAGCTACCATATCAAACAATAATAGATTTTACTTGACCAGAGTTGACGTTGACAGTTTATTTGAGTCTTCTTTGACTTCGCACACCAACAGGGGAAACAGATCTTGTGGCTTTTCGGATGTTACATGAAATCACGAAAAAGCATTTCATTTCCGAACCCTGCATCGATTTTGATGAAATTTTGACACAAAGTTGCTAAGTGTCAAGGACAGAAAGGTTTTGTCTGTTTTGAAAACTGCTTTGCGGCAGAGAAACTACAGGAAAAAGCGAAAAATTTACTCAAAGCTTTTTTTAGTCTTATTTTTTCGTCAACAATTCATTGAATTTGTAAACCTATGTTAGCAATTCAATCAATATCAAACAAAAAACGTGATATTAGGATTTACATAAGACTTGTCACTTTAGATTTCTTCTAATAATTGCAGTGTTGCTTGAGTTTCCTGTCTCTCAAATTTCTTCAATTAAACCCAGTTTGGACATTCAATCCGGAGCAGGTCGCTGTGATACTTTCACATCTATAGGTTCAGCTTAAAGTTGGTAGATAAATTTATAGTTTGATTTTGATACTTAATTATTTATTCACTTTTCACTTGCTAACTTCGGATGGTAGCCTAACTTAGTCATAAACTTTTTAAACCAATTGCGCCATCTTTGGACAATATCAACAAAAAATGCGTGCGTTGTGTCCGTTGTCTAAAGGTGCAGAAATCTTTTTTGAATAAAGCGCGGCTCTAAGGCTCTAACAGTACTGTAGTGGCAACAGTGTTACATTTTAAATGAGCGGTTAAGTTGCATTTGTTTTGTTCTCTGCATACTTTGATGAAGATAATACTTGATTTGAAAGAAAGTGATACCCATCTGGAAAACGACTTGAATTTAGAACGCGATGAAGAAGATGATGACAATGAGTGGGACGTTCCTTTATCTACACTACAGCATCAAAAAAATGGCGATGCTATTAATCACGCTAACAATATTATTGAAAACGGTAAGTTTGTAGTTTGCACTTTTATGTATAACAAACATTCAAAACACCAATTAGAGAAGAAGTTCGTCGCCAAAATTCTCAATTCTGATGGGTCCAAGCTACAGATAAGTTGTCTGCGACGAAAGGACTCTGAGTCTTTTGTATACCCACTTGTCGAGGACCTTAACGACGTCATTCAGGAGGACATTTGCGCTGTTCTTGGGACACCGACAGAACGGAGAGGAATTTTTAGATTTTCGGAAGACTTGACAGGAGTATTGTGGATTTTTTAAAGTTCTTGATGTGTTTTTTCTATAACATTTTCTACCTATTTGTTTACGTAGTTTGTAGGTCGTTCCTTGGAATGAATCACTTTTTCAGTTATATTATGTGCATTTTTTCCTAAGTGTTCGAAAAAAATAAAATTTTGAATGATCCATTCTAAAATACATTGAAAGCGGTGTCCTAAGGTCGGACAACAATTAATATATTTTTTGAAGTTGGGCACAGTGTTTCCTAAGTGTCCAAATCGAGTTTTTTATTCAATTTCGCAGTATAACGTCCATGTCCGAAATTAGGGAAAATATATCCTAACTTCGGACAACGATTTTTTTTTATTCATACCTTACTGGCAAATTTATAGGTAGGTTATATACTTTGACTGATTCCATAGCACTGGCAATGTTTTTATAGCCAGAATAGTAATAGTCACATAAAAACATTTAATATTGAGAAAATATTCCAAATTTTGATAGGGGCTTTTACGGTATTGTAATCGCGAAGAATTTCTAAGTTGAGATTTTACGTTTTTTGGAAGTCATTTCCCAATCCTTGGCTATAGCTTGGAAAGTACTGCTTAGATTTTGATGAAATTTTGCCACAAAGTTGGTAACTGCCAAGGACAGAAAGGCTTTGTCGTTTTTGAAAACCGGGTGCTGGGAGTTGTAAGGGATCGGGAAGAGTATATCTCAATCTTTTTCAGTACATTTGTACGCTTCCCCGTATATCTGCACATAAAACATAGTCATAGAGAGATATTTTCAACACACGCGTTCTACGCAATGCAACGGACATATTTATATATCTGCATCGAGGTCTGACCGATGTATATAACCCAATCTTATTCAAAAATAACCTCTTTTAATCAGCACGCATGTTGCCACGCCCAAAACTACGCAAAAGATTGTTTAAACGCTTATATTTAAACAATTTCCAAAAATACTTTTTTCCGCTCCGGTCAGTGGTCTTAGGTTAATCAGGACATTCTGAACAAAAAAAGGATATAGGACCTTTCCCTAAATTTTGAAATTTTTACACATAAAAGATTTGACATTTCAAAAAGTGCAAAATATGCCATTTTTGACACATGCAAAAACTATATGAAAAAAAGTGTTAATGTTGCCAAAGTTCTTAAATATTCTTCAACTACCCATTGACAAAGTCCCAAACCATTGCAGAAAAGAAGTTTGACCTAAGCGAAAAAAACATGTTTTGAAAATTGTTCGAAAGCTATATTTAACCAAATTTTGACTCAATTTTGGGTCTGCCGACATGCAGATTCGCTAAAAGGATCCCTTTCGAATGAGGGTTCGAATATCGGAATCAGAATTTTTTAGAGCGATGTGAAAATACTACCTGAGACAAGATGGGGTGAGCGGCTGACGTGTGTGAAGGTTACTCATAGCAACGTTGCAACATGGTCGGTACTGTCGCTAGAGCAAGGAAGTGCAGGGTCAACCTACTTGGCGCCATTTTTTACGTTTAGTTTGCTCGTTATATGCCAAATCTCAGAGATGCCAATTTTGCAATCTGCACATTGCAAATTTTATTCCAATTGCGATGTACAGTATATTCAGATAAGAGATAGACCGGATATAGACAAAAGGTTCGGGTGATTTTCACGCTAACGCCGCCGTCTCGACGTAAAACGAAGGCGACGTGGTGAAAGGAGGAATCCACAGTTTTTTGTTGAAAGACGTGTTCATCACACTGTTGGAGTTATGGTTTGGAGTGCTATAGCTTATGGTTCCAGGTCACCTTCAATCTTCATCAGAGGTAACATGAACGCGCAGCATTATATCCACGAAGTTCTAGAACCCCATCTTTTACCCTATCTTGACACCCTGGCAGATCCAACTTTCCAACAAGATAATGCCCGACCACATGTTGCAAGAGTCACAATAGACTTCTTTCAACATAATGATGTCACATTGTTACCATGGCCACCAAGATCTCCCGACTTATCCCCAATTGAGCACGTGTGGGATATGATGGGTAGGAGATTGCTCAATTTGCAACGTCCTCTTCAGACTCTAGAAGCACTTCGAGAGGAGTTGGTGGTTACCTGGAATGAGATACCACAGGAGGACATTGACCACCTGATCAGAAGCATGCCTAGGCGCGTTGGCGAATGCGTAGCACATCAGGGTGCATCCACACATTATTAAAGGTCAAAGGGCTTTAAAGCAGTGCAATCATTTTGAAATTTTTATCATTTACTTATTATGCTTCATTAAGTACTTATACAAAATTTTATTAAAATAAAACCATTTAAACTGGGTGTTCGGATTTATATGTCACTTAGTATATAAGATCGAGCGCGAGGAGAACGAGGCATCAACCATCAAAGAAATTGTTGTGAAGGTTTCTCACAAAGTTGGGGTGTGTCGCGCATCAGTGTTTAATGTGTTAAGACAATACAAAAAAAATCACACCTTTTCTGAGCCAATGACCAGTAAACATCGCAAAAGTATTGTTAAATCATTGGATGAAGCTGATAAGCATGCGATTAGGAGGAAAGTGCATGAATTCTTCTTTAGGAATGAAATACCTACTATAGATAAAGTACTGCAGGAGGTAAATGGAGATACAACGTTGCCAAATTTCAAACGATCAACTTTCCATGCGTTACTGAAGCATTTAAATTTCAAATGGAAAAAACGGGGTCGTAATAGTTTACTACTGGATAGAGAAGAAATTGTGCTATGGAGGAGGGATTATTTAACAAAAATTGGAATATGGAAATCAAAACAGGAAGATAATAAACCTTGATGAAACGTGGGTAAACGCAGGACACACTACAAGTAAAGTATGGGTTGATGATTCTGTAACTTCATCCAGGAGGGCCTTTCTAGATGGACTGTCCACCGGATTAAAAAATCCAGCAGGTAAATACGAATAATAGACAACAATCGGATGTTTTTCAAACCTCGGGAACAAGGTTCTAAACATTAATTCCAGGGGGTAGATAAAACATATTACAAGTAACAAAACTTTTATAACTTTCGATAAAATGCGTGGATGTTTTATTGTCATTTTCATTTGTTAGAACTTTTTTAAGCCATGTTTTTATGTGTTTTCGATATTTTAACAATTTTTTAATATAATCTTAAAATATGTCGAATATTATAAACTTAAAAAAAGTTACTAAGTTTTATATTGTGTACCGTTCCTAATATTTCTAATCATTTTAATTCATACTTTAAGCTTTATAAAGTTATAATTTGTTAATATTAATATTTGCGCGTATTTCAGGTTCCTGATCATTCATTTTTTAAAGGTTTATAACTTTAAATTAAATTGTGAAGAGCTGAGTAATCATACGACGTTCAATATTCTTTCTTTCAATATGACTAAATAATCCCAATTATAGCAATCTGATACTCATGTCTCAATGTTTTTTCGCTGAATGTGATGAAAACATTTGAAAAAGGTTCGCTTATTGAAATAAATCTACACCAGTTAGTACTTCGATTTCCAGGTAAAGGGAAAAGGCTCATTATCTGCCATATTGGCAGTGAGGATGGATTTGTTGTTGATGGTCTGTGGTGCTTTGAGTCTAAGAAAACTAGAGATTACCACGAGGAAATGAATGGCGAATCGTTTGAACAGTGGTTTTCAAAAATTTTACCGAACTTAGAGGAAAACGCAGTAAATGTGTTGGATAATGCGCCTTATCATTCTCGAAGAATGGAGAAGGTCCCAACAACGGCTTCAAGGAAAGTTGATGTTCAAAATTGGCTCCGCTCGAAAAATATCAACTTTGAAGAAGCAATGCTGAAAGTACAATTATTAAGAATTGTCAAGGATCACAAGGCGGAATATCAAAAATACGCCATTGACGAAATGGCAGCAAGTCAAAATAAAACTGTGCTCCGTTTACCTCCATACCATTGCGAGCTCAATCCCATTGAGCTCATATGGGCAGAGGTTAAAAATTATATAGCTAAGCACAATACAACTTTTAAATTTTGTGACCTCAAAGGACTTTTCAAAGAAGCACTAGAATTAATAACAGCGCAAAAAATGGGAAAACTGTATTAAACACGTGAAAGACAAAGTTGAAAAGAGAATGTGGGAACTGGACAATATTTTAGAGGAACAAGTCGAGCCATTCATTATTGACGTTGGTGCTTCAGGCAGTAGCGATGATGAAAGCTCATCAAGCTCATCTTTCCAATAAAAGATGTCGTTCATCAAATTCGGTAAGTTATAAGTAATTATAAAGCTACTGTATTTTTTAATTAATTATTGACATTTTTGAACCCATTTTGGCAAAACCTATTCAAGAATCTACTTTCTGACAATGTTCAACCATGCACATTTTTTTACGTTTTGAACGTTTTAATTTGGTTACATATTTACCTAGAAATCAAAAAATATACTAATCAATATTCTAAAAGCAATTTTAAGAGATATACGATTATTTTTAATTTAGGCTAATTTAAACGCCATTTTGAGATTATATTCGACTGTATTTCACCAAACATCAGGCGGCATCCGAAGCTGGAAATCGAAGCGAAAATTTTGAACCCCTTATGTATATTTACATCATTATATATTTCTTACCCCACCCCCACATGATCCTATATCCATCACCAATCGTATACACATCGAATTGTGCTAATTTACTACAAAGTTACGCAAAGCAGCATCTACTATCTAAAATATGTACTGCGTGACTCTTAATACGTCCCTGCCGAATGTTACAGCGTTCGATGATCACGTGGTCTTGTTTATGTCCGGTCTATCTCTTATCTGAATATACTGTAGAGTAAAAAGCCGCTAGCTAGTTCTGTCAAAAAGAAAAGTCAGGTGGAGGAGTTGTTGAAGCCTGCGGAACGCTAACCAACAATTTCTTTTAAGAAGTAACACTTTATACCATATCGCATCCAAAACCCCATCAAAATCATGGCTGCAGTAGCAATTGAAATTGAGAAGTCATCGGAAAAACAACGCACGTTATTCCGACAGGTTAAAAATCCTGCGATCACCTACGACGTGTAGTAGAATGCATTTTTTTTTTTTTAGTTTTTAGGTCTGATACGAGGGATGTCTTTTAATTTTTGCATATAGACACATAGTAGGCCGCGCGGATCGAACGTCAGTACTGAATCTTAACCTCACTCTTTAGTAAACTTAAATTCAAAGTTTCACAACAATACGTGCAGTGTTCTCACTACAGTGAATTTTTAAGTGTCACTAAGTCATTAGAAAAATGGAACAACTTTCAGAGACAATTATCGCAACAAGAATGCCTTGCTGAGTTACTGTCTGTTTTCGGCAACGAAGCGCCACATCAGTCGACAATTTTCCATTGGTATGAAGAACTCAAACGTGGACGGGTGAGTCTTAGCGACGATTCCAGGGTAGGTGCACCAAAAACGGCAGTCACCCAGGAAAACGTCGATGCTGTGCGCAAACTCATAATTGAAGATAGACATGTGACATATCGCGAGATTGAGGCGTCCTTGAAGACCTCAAAAACTTCAATTAAAAAAATTTTACATGAAGAATTAGGAGTAATAAAACTAGTTTCTCGTTGGATACCCCACCTGTTGACTGAAGAGCAGAAAGCAGCCAGGGTTAATTGGTGTCAAAAAACGCTTGACCGCTTCAATTCCGGAAACTCAAAAAATGTATACAGCATTGTGATGAATCGTGGACTTACTGTTATGAACCAGAAAATAAACGACAGTTGGCTGTTTGGGTGATCCAAGGTGAAGAAAAACCAACAATCACCGAGCTTCGAAAAATCAACCCCGAAAAAAGAATCATCCTCCACCAAAACAATGCAAGCTCGCACACAGCTCAAAAAACAAGGCAGTATTTAACGGAAGAAAACGTGGAATTATTGGTCCATTCTCCATATAGTCCCGATCTAAGTCCTAACGATTTCTTTACTTTCCCGAAAATTAAAAAAAGACTGCGTGGTCAAAGGTTCCAGTCACCGGAAGAAGCAGTTGACGGATTCAGAAATGCCGTTTTTGATCTGCCAGCAAACGAGTGGAATAAGTGCTTCGAAAATTGGTGTACTAATCTTCGTGGAGAATAATTCGAAAACTAATAAAGTCACTTAAAGCTACCTGCCGTGTTGTATTAATTCCATATGCAAAACTTAAAAGACATCCCTCGTAATGGTTTCCTGGACAGTGTTAAATCGAATCTATCTAACTGCTTACCTCGGTAGCTCCGACAGCAAGTGACAAATATCCCAAAAAAATATTGGTAACTTGTGTAAATTCATAAACTAACTCAGCACAGCCAGTAGTATGCAGATCTCCAGCGTCCCTGCTGCAAATTTTACCATTGGTACAGCAGGATCCTGGATAAGCATTGTCGTGGGGCAGATCGCGTAAGCCTAACCGGTTGTAATCACTAGGACCGTTGGCTCCGCAGCAAGTGAACTGAAAAACAAAATGATGTCTGCGTCATGAAGACTAGACATAGGAGGTTAACCTCCAGTATGAAGCCACTACTGTCGGTTTTTTCACGGTTTTTGGCAGGTCATAGTAAAGCTACACCGGTTTGTATTCCTAAATTTCAGTTATAAATTATTGGTATTCGGGTAACTTAAATTCTAATCAAAGAGCCGAAATATTTATAGAGAAAAATCCTTGAAATGATATATAAAGAAAGACACTGCCAGTATAAATCGTAGAACTGATACGTATAACCTTTGAAGTATCTACAGAAATTTACTAAAAAGAACGCAGCTGTTACAGTCTTTCACCAATAGCACGCTCTCAATGTAAAACGATAATAATGTTGTTTATATATATATACAGGGTGGCGCATCGGAAACGAAACAGACGCATTTACTGGCAGCTCAGTTTCTTTTGGAAAAACGCTCAGACCCGTCGATTTTGTTTTCGAGGGGGACACAAGTTTGGCAAAAAATCACGTTAACAGGTGCAGCCCCATGGGCGGGGGTGACACCAACCCTAAAATCTTAAATGGAAAGAGGGGTCGAGTGATACGTTATTTTAAAGGTCTTTCAATTCCCTTTATAATGATGTAAAATACATGAGATTCAGTTCAGTAGTTTTGAAGGTTTATTGATTTAAAGCTTAAAGTAGACTTTAATAGGTACATCAGATTAGTTTGTACTACTTTCAGAAGAAATCTGACTAAAAGAATTTACCTAATAAGTAAATGCTTTTCTTCACTACTATCATTTTGTTGTTGAAAATGGCTATTGGAGCGTTTTTTTGTGGCAAAAGAGTTATATCTTGAAGAAAGATAAGGAAATATCTCGTACTTATTTTAAATAGGAATTTAGTACATAGTTTGCGATTGATTTGACCAAACTTTGTTGCTAAAATAACTTGTAACGCTTTATTACATAAATTAACCATGGTATATTCCACACCAGAAAGAGTTGAAATTATCGAAATATTTTTCGGAAATAATCAGTGCGCTAATAGAACAGCACAGATATTTAATGAGAGACATAAGCACAGTAACGTGTATCGAAAATATGTTCTAGAACTTGTAGCTAAATTTCGGGAAACTGGGTCAGTCGCAAATAAAAAACGCAACATTGAAAATCCCCTAAGGAACGAAGCAATAGAAGTGGGGGTTTTAGGGCAAGTTTATGTAGATCCTACGTTAAGTACCCGCAAATTGGAGACTGTGTGTGGTGTTAGTCGACGTACTGTCCAACGGATTATAAAGGCTCATAGTTTTCATCCATATAAAATTCACCTGGTACAAGAACTTAATGAAGACGATTTTGATCTGCGATCACAATTTAGTGAAGATATGAGTGAACGAATTATAAACGATGAACATTTTCTATTCAACACTTGCTTTTCTGACGAATGTTGCTTTTTCTTAAATGGCGTAGTAAATCGTCATAACTGCCGATATTGGTCCGATTCTAATCCCAGAATATATCATGAGGTTCATACACAGCAACCACAAAAATTAAATGTTTGGGCTGGTATTTTTGGCGATCATTTAGTTGGTCCTTTTTTCTTACTTGGAAATTTGACCGGTGAAATGTATTTGGAATTACTGGAAGACGCCATAGATCCTGCATTTACAGCCATAATTGAAAATCAGAATGATCGGCGGTTCATTGAGAATAGGTTGATGTTCCAACAGGATGGTGCCCCACCACATTACGCATTACGCTTTCGACAATATTTAGATCAGAAGTTTCCAGATCGATGGATTGGTAGAAGAGGTGCCATTGAATGGCCCTCCAGATCGCCAGATTTAACACCTTTGGATTTCTTTATGTGGGGTCATTTAAAAAACAAAATCTATGCTACTCAGCCAACATCATTAGAAGACCTGCGACAAAGAATTGTGAATGAGTGCCTTCAAATTACTCCTCAAATATTTCAAAGCGTGCGGCAACGTTTTGACCAGAATCTTTATTATTGCATGGAGAGTCATGGTGGCCATTTTTAACATTTACTTGCCTAACGGGTCAGTTCATTCTTCATTTTTAAATTACTTTGCTGCCAAATGTATTGATATCCACTAATGATGATGTACGAGTATCAGTTTTATTTAAGCGTTAAATCAATAAATCTTCAAAACTACTGAACTGAAGTACATTCATTTTATATCATTATAAAGGGAATTTAAAGACCTTTAAAATAAATCACTCGACCCCCCTTTCCGTTTAAGATCTTGTGGGTGGTGTCACCCCCGCTTAGGGGGCTGCACGTGCTAATGTGATTTTTTGTCAAACTTGTGTTCCCCTCGAAAACAAAATCGACGGGTCTGAGCGTTTTAAAAAAACTGAGCTGCCAGTAAATGCGTCTGTTTCGTTTTCGATGCCCACCCTGTATACATTGAACTTGGCTTTGTTTTAAATTTTGTTAGCAAATATTTATCGCCAGCCGTTGACCTGCACTCAAACTGCCAACTTCTATCTGACAGAAATGTAACTATTTTTACCACCTAGTAAATCTTTCTGTATATTGATTTTACGTCTTTTAATTTTTTTCTTTTAAACGCATAAGTTTGTCTGTGTGACGTCAAAGACACATGTTTTTGTTTTATCTCACCACACCGCCTTGAACATTTTCTTGTCAACGTGTAAGTATTCTACCTCTATGTTTGTTTTTGGCAGTATTTCACTTTGCTTGACATGAGCATTTAATTTGTGTTTTCCGATGATGATCCTCGATATAAAATATAGTAGAGTCTGGAGATACAACTATAATGTCAACAGACTGTACTGAGAGGTATTTGCAGAAAGTGAGCGAAAACGTTCCTCCATCATCCATTTGATGAGTGCATGCAAGAGAAAGTAGCAGCTGTGTGCAATTCCTCTTAAAGAAGTTAAAGTACGCACATGCTGATTCTGTTTACTTATTTCCTATGACAATGCGACGTTACCACCAAAAACCGTGAAAAAAACTATATATACATGCACGTGACAGAGGGAGAGAGAGCGAGATGCCTCACATGCAGAACTTGTAATACATTTCTGACGCAATCACTGTAGCCCTGCTTTTTTTTCGACAATTTTGGCTTTACCCCATTCTTTTAGTTTACCCTCCTATATCTAGTCTTCCTGGTCTGCGTCTAATGACTGTACAGCGCCAAAGCTGTTGAATGATTTTTGACAGATGCATTTAGATACATTCGCTCTATGCAATTGCATTTTCTAGCAGTTCTCTAAAAAGCGCTTCTAAAGTCCTCCAGCAGCTTAAGCCCAGTTAGTTGTGTGTCTCCACTGATACACTTAAAGAACACGAAACAACGTTGTATGCAGTCACCTAGCTCTCGTCTACCGCTACGCCAAAGGGCTTTGCTCCTCAGAGCACTCCTCCAAGATGCCACTGCGCGATGGCCCTGCTAGATAGACCCGCCTGACCTCGACGCCCCAACCTAACCGTGTCGAACTTCGTACATCCAGAACTGGCCAGTGCGACCGCTTATTTGTCTGCACGACTGTTTCGGTGTGAAAAAAATAAAGATCAGCAGTTAGTGCTCCCCTGTCAACCCCCCCCCCCACTTGTCTGTTTTATCGAAGCGGGCTGTCATTTAGAGACGCCGTGAAACATTGATATTCCTGGTACCGACGTAAGGATCAGTATCGCCTCTCCGCGCACTGTACCTGGGAACCGAAAAGGAAGAACGAATTAAAACACATCGCACGCCTATTTAAGAAGATGCTGCCTTAGCATGGGCGTGCGATATGTCTCGCTGCTCTATTCCTTTTCGGTTCCCTAGTATACAATAGGAGTTTTTTAGTAGAGCCATACTTGCTTGTTTGATATCCAATGAAACAAGATTGTATACGGCTGGTTATGATGATGGAACGCAAACAGATACTATTCAGCTTGTTATAAGAATTTGAAACAAGCATTTTAATCATTACTTACCCAAAACTGTACGCCATCCATCGCACCAGGATTACTTTTATAGTTTTCGACATTTTTCATTACGTCCAGCGCCATCTGAAGGCGTAAACTGGACGTGTACTCGGTGGAGTTCTGATAGGTGTACACGCAGTATCCTCCTATTGCTAGATGAGCTAGCGCTAGTAGTAACAGAAATGCTGAGTACTGAAAAAAGATTAAACAAAATCAGCCCAGTTTAAAAGATGTGAGGTGATATTATGTGATCCCATATACCACCAACCATCAATCACTTGGAATATATGAGTCCTAGTTGCGTCACGGGGACTATGACCTTGTCGTAACACTCAAAATTCTAAAGCGGCTTTTTTTCGTTTAAAATCTCATTGCACAAGAGTATATTGAAACATATCGCATATTGTTGAAAAGTGACATGAAAAGTTCGTGTAACTATGGTGGTTATCGACAAGCTAGGTGTTGAAATTCAATTCTCGAAATCACGAAACTATTCTCTACGGAGCGGATAAAAGCACCGACTTTCGCACATAAAAAAATTGCATAACCAAAAATTTGTATGACTCAATTAACACTAACAATATAGAAACCGAATCATTATAATCTTTAGCTTAAAAATATCAGCAAATTTCCCCGTAATAATTGTAAAGTTTGATTTTATTGATGCAAGTTGTTCAAGGGGGTATTTAAAACATGGACGCATAAAATGGGTACATCAATTTGTGTAGGAAAACTTTTTATTCGACAACAAAGAAAGAGAGAACGTGCTTTTTGGGATTCAATCGAAATTGTTGACAGGAACGAAAAACTTCTTCAAATGAGATTTTTAGGTATATATATATGGGTGTCCGCAAAGTTGGGGTTTTGCGTTTCAGAAACAACTGTCCTTGAAATAACAAAGGTAATGTGTAGTGAAACGAGGGCGACCAAGTAAAAAAAAAATAAAGAAAAAAGTACTCACTCTCCAGTTGACAAGAAGGGCTAAGTACGTCTCTGCCCGAAATCATACCGCTCCAACAGAAAATGAAATCAGCTGATGCGCTACCGAGCAGATGCCGGCGGTGGTGCAGACCAGTAGACCACGAACAGAGGTAACAAATATGACCATCGTGCAGAAACCACATTGATTGTCTTACACTTAATGGCACATCTTCTAACAAGGAAGGTAAAATGTTGCGTAAAAAGTCTAGGTATTGCATCCCGTCCAATCGATTTGGGAGAATAAATAGTCCAATGAGCATACCGTTCACCATGCCAGCCCAAAGATTCACCGAAAATGTTTTTTGGAAATGTGCCCGACGGACAGCGTGCGGATTTTCTACTGACCAAACATGAGTGTTGCGAAAGTTATTCACCCCATTACGCGTGAACGTAGATTCGTCTGTCACCAATATGCACTTCAAAAAGTCCGGATTATTGTCATGTTGATGCAACAACCACTCACAAAACCGCACTCTTGCTGGAAAATCGTCAGGTTGAAGGGCTTGTACACGTTGGACGTGAAACGGATACAGCCCCTCTTCATGCAGCGTTTCCCACACTTTAGTTTTTGATACTTGCACTTCTCTAGCCACGTCTCTAGTGCTTGTTGTTTTTTGAAACGCAATCGATTATAGGCGTTCGTTTACCTCTACACGGGTGACCGTAACCGTCGGTTGAAGGTTGCATACTGACCTGACACACTGACCCCGACCCCCGACCCAGTTCTGTCGTCGGGTTGAGCTAGTGTCCTAGTACCAGTTGGGGATGTAGCGAGTCGCGGCTACAGGACGGTATTCAGATATTTTTGATGTTGCAGAGCCCTTTATCTCGGTTCTCTTAAGACATTGGTGTATATGGTACTAAGAAAAATTGCTTATGTTTTCAAGATCTACACGTCGTGTAAACCCCAACTTTGCGGACACCCTGTATATATATATATAAAGATCAGAATAATAGCAGAAAGGCTATGGCCGAAAACCTAGGCAAAATACAGATTTTGTCACTTGGTAATGCGACGATAATTTCACGCAGATACTTGAAATTCTTCGAATCCGTAAACTTCATACATCTAAATAACCACTACAAAATTTGAGTAGATTTTTCAAACAGTTTTTGTAAGTTTCTAGCGGCTCATCCCAAAACTCCTGTCTTCCGGTCATCACTACTAGTTTACTGAGCAATACACAGGGCTCGTTCAAAAGGCATGTTATAGCAAAATACGTGAGTATCTTGCCGATACGAATCACAAACCATTTCGAAAGATGAATATTATTTTATGCGAAAAACGAAGGGTTACGTTTTTTCCTTCTAAACAATTTTTTTTCACGGTTTCTTCATACCCTTATGAATACAAACTCCGAGCTGATATCTTTACACGGTCACAGATGAGGCTTAGAGTTTATGAAAAAAAAGATTTCATACTGAAATGCACTGAACTGTTTATAAAGTTAGCACGCAAACTGAAGACAATAATGTTTCAGACTGTCTTAGCCAGTTTCTTTACGATTAAAGCAACTACGAGTTGGAACATAAACTCAAGAAAACGAAAAAATGGTAGACAAATATCAACCATTTGTAGAGAACTGACCGTCTGAAAAATTATTATTATTATATTATTTCCAGTTTCAGCATTGTATCTTGTGTAGTTTCCGAGATTATTCTAATTGTGTATAACAAATTTGATGAACTGCCATCGTCAGCTTGACATTTGTCAGTGTCAAGTGCAGTGGTATAAAGACAGAACGCAGGTTCGAATCCACAAAGCACTCTTCACCAAATTGGTGTACTCATTTTATACATCCATGCTTCAAATACCCCTTGAACAACTTGCTTCAAACCAAACTTTACAATTATTACGCAAATCAGGGGTATTTTTGTCTAATATAAAACTATTTGCAATTAATTGGAATTTTGGGTCTAAAGAAACGGAGTTTCTGGTTATGATGTTGCCGAATTATTTTTCAGGGCTCTAGAAAAAAACGTTTAAACCACTACCTCTGCGTATACATTAATTAACAGCTTAAGTAATAGAATTGAAGTGAGAGATAAATAAATTTTATCCAAAATGTCGGCAACATTATAGCGGGAAACTATATTTGTTTAGATCCAAAATTCCAATTAATTACAAGAAATTTATATAAAAAGGGTCATTAGAAGTATAATTTCCAATATAAAATATTACTCTTTACAGAAGATGAATGAGAAATATTTTCTAAAAAGGAGACTTCTGATCTGATGCACTTAATTCTTCATAGATGTGTCTCTTTCAAAGTTTATGTGAGAGCATTCGTTTTAGGAAAATTTTGTTATTTACCAGATGAAAATTTGCATAATAAACTTAAATTCGTTCTACTACTACAGATTGATACTCAAAACAGTATTGGGAGTAAATAAGTAATCTCACCACAACATTATATGGCGAATATTCATGTTATGGTATATTCCCAGGCAGTGCCGTGGCTGGCGCAGAAACGTGCATCGCCCTGTATCTTACGATTAACGAAGTACGGATTATATACTAAGTGACATATAAATCCGAACACCCAGTTTAAATGGTTTTATTTTAATAAAATTTTGTATAAGTACTTAATGAAGCATAATAAGTAAATGATAAAAATTTCAAAATGATTGCACTATTTTGAAGCCCTTTGACCTTTAATAATGTGTGGATGCACCCTGATGTGCTACGCATTCTCCAACGCGCCTGGGAATGCTTCTGATGAGGTGGTCAGTGTCCTCCTGTGGTATCTCGTTCCAGGCAACCACCAACTCCTCTCGAAGTGCTTCTAGAGTCTGAGGAGGACGTTGCAAATTGAGCAATCTCCTACCCATCATATCCCACACGTGCTCAATTGGGGATAAGTCGGGAGATCTTGGTGGCCATGGTCACAATGTGACATCATTATGTTGAAAGAAGTCTATTGTGACTCTTGCAACATGTGGTCGGGCATTATCTTGTTGGAAAGTTGGATCTGCCAGGGTGTCAAGATAGGGTAAAAGATGGGGTTCTAGAACTTCGTGGATATAACGCTGCGCGTTCATGTTACCTCTGATGAGGATTAAAGGTGACCTGGAACCATAAGCTATAGCACCACAAACCATAACTCCAACAGTGTGATGAACATGTCTTTGAACAAAAAACTGTGGATTCCTCCTTTCACCACGTCGCCTTCTAACCCTAGCACGACCATTGTGCATGCCTAAACAAAATCGATACTCGTCACTAAAGACAATACTGTTCCATTCCTGATCCCAGAGTGACCGTTGTCTGCACCACTCAAGGCGATTACGTCGGTGTTCTCTAGTTAAAGGGAGGACCCAGTGTGGCCGGTATGAAAACAAGCCAAAACTTCTCATTCGTCGGTAAACACTTCGCGTGCCAATAGGTCTTCCGTGTTCTGCAAACCATTCATTTGCAATGGACCTGGTAGTGGAGAAACGGTCCCTTAAGGCCAATAATCTTAGGCGGCGATCTTCACGGTCTGTTGTTCTACGGCGGCGTCCAGTGCCCCTTGCTCTTTGCGTACGGCCTTCTCGAAGCCATGCCTGACAACACCTAACCACAGTGTCTACACTTCTTTGCACTCTAACTGCAATTGCCCGAAAAGAAAGTCCAGCTTCCCGAAGTCCCACTATACGGCCCCTATCAAACTCACTAAGTTGACGAAATCGTACAGGTCTCCGTACTCTAGGCATCGTAACCGATCGTAAAGGATGTCAAGAACCAAAATCCGCCAACGTTGATTCTTTACTGCGGCTGAAATATTCATTTTTAGAGCGTTAGTGAATTAAAAAAAGCAGTATAAAAACCGGAATGTCCAACTGATGAGGCTAAAAATTTGTTCACTTATTATTTACAGTAAGATAAATAAATTCACCAACTTTTATTAAAATAAAACCATTTAAACTGGGTGTTCGGATTTATTAGTTATTTCTTTAATTATTGGTTGCTATAGAAATATGTTTACTGTACAGATTATTACCGTTTCCAAACATCCCTTGGACTCCCTGCATATGCCGCAGCAGCCCAAACAGATGAAGATGATGAGGAACGTGCCTAGTATCACCGTCAGCACCGAGGGTATAACAGTTCCGTACTCAGCGATAACCTGCTGACTGTTAGTGAGAAGGATCAGATACGTAGTGATACCACCGTAAACTGCCAAGCCGATTCCAGCAACCTATAAAATAAGATGAATCGATTAAGGTTAACAGACATGGAGATATAGACATATTTTTGGGTTGAAAAGGGCGTATTAATATACAGGTGTTTCAGTTTATTGTTGCATAACTTTGAGATTCGATAGAACTTTTAAAATTAATGCATAAAGTCTATATAAACCTGGGTCGAAAAATGCGTGGCTACCTGTAGTGTATTAAAATGACCAAAAATTTTTTCTTAGTGTAATTTTTTGCTTTTTGAATAAAAAGACTGGTTCTTTGCACTTTTCTGCATAATAAAGCTCTCCTGTGAGTTTTCGTTGTAGTTAGCCGTTTTTGAGATATTTCGATTTTTAAGGTTCGATGCATTCTTAATTATTTGTGGGAAAATAACATTTTTTTTACATTATCGATTTGGGCATCACAAGTAATTAAGATGATCGTTTAGATTGTGTTTTTAAACACAGCAATAATTCCTAACTCCAAATATACACAAAAAAACAGAATATTAATTTGTTTAATTTTCCAATATTATTTTTAACAAATTAAATTAATTATTTACAAGTAAAATGCTATTGGATAGTTAGGACAAACATACAAAATCTAAAGTAGTTGCTCGAAATGTAAACCCAATTGTTCAATACACAATTCATATCTACGAATGATCGAACGTGGTATAAGGCCTTATTTCATCACATACATCCCTGATTCTGTCTATTAGCATATCTCTTGTGGTTACGGGAGTCTGGTACACTTTTTCTTTTAGAAATCCCCACACAAAGAACTCTAATGGATTTAGGTCAGGGGATCGTGGAGGCCAGGCGACTGGTCCTCCACGGCAGATCCATCTTTCTGGATAATTTTCGTCCAGCCAGTTTCTAACTATTCTCGAATAATGAGCTGGACAACCATCAAGCTGGAACCAGGCCAATCTTCTTAAATCTAACATAACATCAACCTATATATTTGCATGTTCAGCCTTTAAAAATTCCAAGAGGGTCGCAGCATTTAACCTTGCAGGCAAAAGGTAGGGTCCAAATAGTCGATTACGGTAGATACCAATCCACACGTTCACGCTGAAAATTTCTTTCCCGAACTGCATGCGGATTTTCATGAGACCAAATAGGTTGATTATGAAAATTTACCACTCCACGTCTAGTGAAGCATGACTCATCGGTCCATAAAACGTTGCTTAAAAACTCCCTATTATTATCAGTTCTATCAAGAATCCACTAACACAATGTGATTCTTTGTTCTCCGTCCCCTGGCTGTAGTCCTTGCACAGGTTTCAAATGGTAAGGACATCTATGGTCATTTCTAAGAACACGGTGAACATGGCTTGCTGAAATTCCCAAGGCACCAGAAACTCTCCTAACACTTGTGGTCGGATCTCTATAAAACTCACGCAGAATCATACGGGAAATCTGCGCTGACGAACATTTATGTTTTGATTTCTTTGGAGATTTCCAAAACTATTTTCAATTGTTTGGCGATGTACTCTTACAAATACTGAGCGAGTTGGATGTCGTCTGTTTGGAAATCTTCGTGCGTATTCTCTGGCTGCTTCTGATGCGTTTCCATTTACAAAGCCATACACAAAATGAATATCCGCTAACTCTTGATTGGAGAATAAAAATGCCATTTTTATAAAAGTTACAAAAAGAAAAAACAGGTAAAAGAAACTAAATTTCGTGCATTCACAATTGCAAAAAAAAGGTTCAGGTTTCAACAGACAACAAAACTAACTGTCAACTAATTGACGTTTAACCTTGTTCTGCTTTCAATTTCAAAAATATTTGCAGGCACAGCCTACTTCTAAAAATTATCGAAATACTGACTTTTTAACGTTATTTTATCATAAATAATTAAAAATGCACCGCACCTTAAAAGTCGAAATATCTCAAAAACGGCTAACTATAACGAAAATTCACAAGAGAGCTTTTTTATGTTGAAAAGTGCGAAGAGTCAGGTGTTTTATTCAAAAAGCAAAAAATTGCACTAAGAAAAAATTTCGGTCATTTTAATACACTACAGGTACAGTAGAGAGTGCCCTCTAGCGGCTACAGTAAAACCATGCCCATGGTTCGTTTTGTCGTACCAAAAAATCCTTGAATACCAATTTTCACTGTTATACATACATCAAATATTGTTCGAAATATTTAAAAAAAACTATTTTAGAAAGTAAATTTAAACACCCTGTATTTCGGAAGCCACGCATTTTTCGACACATGTTTATATAAACTTTATGCATTAATTTTAAAAGTTCTATCGAATCTTAAAGTTATGCAACAATAAACTGAAACACCCTGTATATGCAGTATGTTACCACGAGCACTGCATACCCGGAGCCTCATAATAGTAATCGTCTTTAGTTATGTGATTATAATTAGAAATATAGGTTGCCTTTTAATTTATTTTTATATTTATCAGGGTGAAGTTTAGCATAGTTGTATTCTGCCACTTAACTCCAAAACAAATCTGCAAAACACAAAAGAAAATATTTTAATGTTACAATAATGAGACAAAACATGGCCATATAAAAATAAATAATATAAAAATGCTTTGCATAAAAATGTCTTGAATGAAAATGTAAAATATATTAAGTATCCAAGTATATGAAATGGGAGGTAAATTTGAACACATCATAGAGAATATTTATCCAAAATGTTTTTTAAATGCATCATAAGTTAACAATTCTAAGGTTTGTGGAATTTCGTTATAATGAAAAACAGCGTTGTATGTGAAGCAGTTACGGAAAAATGACGTGTTGTGAATTGGCATTGTAAGAGTCTCTTTAAGATAAAAGAGCTTTTAAGTTCTTAAAATATCTAAATGGGCCAGTCCAGCCCAGCACCTAGCGTGAAAAGGTGCTACGTGTGTCAATATCCAAAAAAGTGCCGCGTGGAGTGCAAGTTAACCTAGCTGTTTATTTAAAAAAGAATTCGAAAAACCGAGATTGGCACATTTCTATAGCAACAACAAGGATATCAGTTTAGTTTACGATGAGTGCTTTCGGAATTTTCGTGATACTTCGCGAGTGTATTCAGATCGTTTTCCTGGATGTTTCCATCCCGAGCTGGCTAGGTTTGCTTATATCGTCCAACGGCCTTCGAGATGGACACAGTAGTAGACGTAGACAGCCCCAAATGTTACAAATTGTTGAAGAAACATGCAAATTTGTGTTTCTGAATCGAACAATTTCTATAGTATTTAGGACAAAAACAAAAGACAGGGCGGAACTTGAAAATTGATTATTAATTTTCTTCAACTGTTTACGCTTTCGCTGTTTTTTGGTCCTGTTTTTTCAAACGTAGTTTTGCTTAAAAAAATGTTTATTTTCATATTGTTCCAGGTTTTACTTCATCCCATGTCTATATTATTGTCTTTTTCAGGAGTAGCCATTACGGTGAATGAGCTGATTATCTAGTAATGTAATTCCCCATATTTTTTTTTGTACGCCACAGATCCATTTTGTAATTGCTAAAAACGCTTTTATTTAGAACAGTTCATTTGCATACAAAAAACATTTGTTTATGAATGCAACGGGATTTTCTATCTACGTTCTATCTCCATAATTTATTTGTATTCGCAGCTGTATTTGAGCCATTGAAAGCCAGGATGGTCCAAGTCACAAAAAGACGTTTCCAAGATTTAAGGCTTTAAAGTTTAGATGTAGCTGATAAATGTAGAATAATAAAACTGGAGTAAGAAATCAAAATACCCTTAAAGGTAGAATCAATTTAACTATCTTATTATAAAATACATGAACATTTTGTGTTCATGTGTATTTTTTCATATGTTTAAGCTTTAGCCCACTCTGCCCTAAAACGGTTCTTACCTTTGGTTTCATACTTGTATAACGATTATAGTAAAGTAGAGTATTAAAGTAGAGTTACACAACATTATGTGAATTGATAATTTTATTACAAAACGACAGAAATCAATCTCCATACAGTAAAAAATAATGTATATTTTCTACTCAAAAACTGTACTGTACTGACGCGACCTTATGGAATTTCTGGAAATGCTCGAGTCTGTTCGCCTTCTCCTTCTTCTTCTTCAGTAACAAGCAGTGGTCCGGTATCTGGCAAAGTTGCATCTGTCTTCAGATTCTTGAAAAAACTGTGATGAACTGGTAGTATGAATTGGAGAAGCTCTTCCATGTTTTTCTTCTTTTTGTCGTTGACAGGAAGAGGGGATTCATACAATGGATGTGGGTTTATATTTTTGAAGTTTTTAGGTGCGCCCTTTCGATTTGGTAGTAAATTTATAAAATCATATGGAAACTCTTCATTCAAAGTTTCTTTATAAAAAAAATTGTAAGGTTCTTTTTTCTCAAAGTGTAGCCACTGGATCTGGAGCCATGATACAATGGCATTAGTACCATTTTTCTTTCGTCTTGTTACAGCTTCCTCTAATGTTGTTGATGAGAAAAAATCAGACCGTTCCATCTCACAGACGTAAAAGGGTTTCCTGGGTCTGCTTGTTCTTATTGTTATACCAGTCTTCTGGCACGTACTTGATGCTATTTTTTTGCCCGCTTGACACTACTATTGAAAACCAGAGTGGGTCAAGTCACACTTGTCCCATTCTGCCTCATAACGGTTACAGCTTTCCATTGACATATAAAAACAGACTGGTGCCATATGTGTGCAAAACGAAAAGATACATTTTTCAAAACTCCCCCAGACAAAGAACAGTATACACATTGAACCTCGATATATGAAAATTTGGACTTGGACCATCCTGGCTTTGAACGGCTCATTTGGGCTAGCCAAAGAAATGTAAACTAGCTGCATTGTAGTTAGTTGTTATAACACAAAACTTATATCATGTTCTCAAGAAGCGCATTACATACGTATTTCATTGGTCATTTTCCACGACTTTGTTCTGATTCAGCACTCTATTTGATTGCGATGTCTTGTTCAAGCGAGTCATTGTTCTGGTTTGAGGTCAGGCTGCGGCGAAAATGATGATGCCGTATTGATTAAGCATTACTCTCTGGTTGGCTGGATATTAA